AGAGGGTGAGAGTGAATGAGGAAGAGAGAGAGAGTGTGAGTGAGTGAGGGAGAGAGAGAGTGTGAGAGTGAGTGAGGGAGAGCGAGAGTGTGAGGGAGAGAGAGAGTGAGTGAGGGAGAGAGAGAGTGAGTGAAGGAGAGAGAGAGAGTGTGAGTGAGGGAGAGAGTGTGAGTGAGAGTGAGGGACAGTGTGAGTGAGAGAGAGAGAGAGAGGGAGAGTTCCTTTTCTTGAGTAATAAAACTCCTTTCTTTCACAGAATGAAACCTTGGAATCGGTTCTCCTTCATTTTTGATCAGTTTAATGTTTTATGTAATAGCTACATGTTAAAATGGAAAGGAAAAAAAGGATATTCATTATAAATAACTGAGAGGAGGTTAAAAACAAAGGGGGAGCTGTGATGAACACCCTCCCTGAGGTATTTTCTGGGATACTTTGACAAGATGTCATTAATGCTTTATAAACATTTATTCCAGGAATTCCCTGAGGACTTCATCTGAAACAAAGTAAATGCTGTGCCACTTGGCCATGTTGAGTACTTTGTTAGGAATCACTAGAAGAAAGGAGGATTGGGTCATCAGTACCTTGCTACGAATCCCCTTCATTCTGCATGAAGAACTGAAGAACAACATTTGGCTGGGTGCAGCAGGGGAGAGTGAGGCGGACACTTTTCTCCAGTGGGTACAAGAATAATATCCCTTCTTCTCTGAATCTCTTCCACCAGGAGCTCCAGTGTTTGTCTGAGAACCTACGTTCTCTCTAACTTGATCCCCGAGCCATTCTGCAGCATGTCAGCCAGCACACTCCACACCTTCAGGGGAATTGACTGCACTGAGACCACACAGACCATCCCATGAAAATTTTATTTAATGTGCATTTGAATGCTAAGGCCACAAGTGCCTGTGTTAACACCTCTCGGCAAATGTAAATTAGGATGACTAGCAATTGAGACCAAAATTAAAAATTAAAACCGGTACACAATAGGCTCTTGTGGTACAGTGGTAGTGTCCCTACCTCTGGGCTAGAAGATATTTTATAACACATTGAAAAAATATTGAAAACTAATGCAAGTTCCTGACCAGTACATCTCATGAGCACAGAATCCTGTTTTATTCTTTCACCAAATAAGTCCCAATGATTCTTGCTGGTGCGTGTTTAATTAAACACAGGTCTTAAAATGTTCTTCCCAAGTAGACATTCTTCTTGCGTCAGTGCCAGAAAGGTAATTGGCTGTACAGGGTATCTCAAAATCTGAGCCCACCCAGTGTTCACATACATGCATGTACTGGAAGATAAATTTCCTTTCCTCACCCAGGGGTGTTGAAATCAATTGTAATATCCAATTACTGCCCCAGCTTCAATCAACTGACTAAGCACAGATCCAATATCAAAAGATGTGGAGTTTATGGCTTACTATTGCACTGGGTCACAGAGAGTCATGGTGACTGATTAAATAATACATCTAATTCAATCACACTGGTTACATAGAATACATCTTCCCATGTCCCAAAGGAAGTGGGGGAAATAAAACAAACTGTACGCAGACAACAGTAATCCAGTTAACCAGACTACATTCAAAATGGTGGCACTTGAGAGGTTTGAAATTAGATTTATTTTCTTTAATTTGCTGCAGTGACCTATGAAGATGCAGCTATCAGTCAGATTTCTTAGATCAGAATTTCAGTTCAAGTATTAATGATCTACTTACGACCAAGCTAAGACCAAGTTAAGAAGACAGTTCTACCAAAGTTACATTTCTTCAGTCAGAATGGGCGTCATCCCTTGCCTTCTGGAATAGGACATCTATGGTCTGCCCGATAATATGATGTGCAGCCAGATGAACAGAGCAAGCTGCAAGTGGGTAACTGCCATGGGAGCAACGAGGGATCAGGTAATTATGGTCTAGAGTACAAACATCCGAGACCATTGCATGGAGAAGCACAATTTCCTACAACATTGGTGCTCTGTTTTTTGAGATAGCTGGCTATTAGGCCATAAACCCAATGTCATTGGTGGTACCTTCTTTCCCACACTGTTCTCCTCTTGCACAGGAGGTTGCCTCTTTTGAAGTTCATCCTCAGGAGACCCACCAATTTCATTTTGAAGTCTCAACCCAAAGACAGATCTGACCCACAGCGCCATGATCTCCACAACAGGTAGGGCAAGGAGGCAGGTTGACCCCAGCCAGAACAGGGATTGAGCCATGTTGTTGGCATGGGCCTCACCAACTGTGGCAACTGAGCCAACATGCTTCCCAAAGCTGAAGCATGGTCTTTATCTTCATAATATAACCTGGACCTATAATATGGATAGTAATGGTGGAAGCTCCAATTTCTTGAGGAGTAGGCTGAGTAGGAAGCTTTCCTCACCCCTACTGCCTGCTTTATGTTCAAGGGATTTGGAAGGTGATACCCAGCCTACCTTTCCATTTTACAAACACACCTTCCTTGGCCAACAAGTGCTGCTCTGGGACTTGAACTCAGATCTTCTGGTTTAGAGGGAGGGATGCTACCCACTGCATCACAAGACCTCCTTCCCAACAGTCATTGTTCACAAATACAAGGGTCTCAACACTAGTGACAGTAACTCGTGGCACTGGTTGGAGCAGCTAAGCATTATTCTCCAAATCTTAACCACGTTGACCATTATCCCTCACCATTGTATTCAGGACTACTTCACCCTGACATGTCCCAGTGTTTCCTGTTCCTCTTGAATGAACATTTAAAAGTGTTCCTAAGAATCCTTGTGATGAACTCGACAACGAATTCAACCAGCAGTGAATTGGAAACAGCAAGTTCTCAGCTCCCCTTTCTGCCTGCTCTTTGAAATCACATCACATGCTGGGAGCTGGATTCTACAAAATCACTATTTCTATTCCGTGCTCACACTCATTCCCGCCCCCTTTCTCCACCACCACTGACATTTGAAAATCCAGCCCAAAATATGTGTTCAGCAGGTTCATCATTTTCTTATGTCACATGATAATTTCTCTTGTCTCTGCCATTCTGACCTATGTTATTATCGTTACTTTCTTTTGTTATATATTTATAAAAGCTTTAACCATTAGGTTCAATTTTCTGGCCAGTTTACCCTCCTTCTATTTTCTTTCCCCTCTGTATCAGATTTTTAGTTGCTCTTCGTTGATTTCTAAAACACTTGCAAGCCTCAAGATTTCTTTACAACATTGTCAGTTTCTTCTTCCAACACATGGTATAACAGAAAGAACAAGACTATGCCTCATCTTTCAGATGACACCAGACATCTGTTTGAATCATGCATCGCAGAAGAGACAGAAATGAAATGGAAAAATGATACAACAAATACTGTACCTTGTTTACCTGTAAGGAACACACACCTGACAAAACGCAATCTTCACATCCAGGATAGGTTCACTGCAGTAATATAAGAAATGTCGGCTCATAAATACCTGCAGGGAAATAAAAATGCAAACATGCTTTTAAGTTCAATTTTCAGATTTAATTTATCATCTTTAAATTAAGCAACATAACATACAGCTGAAACACATAAAAAAATTAGAAGCTGGTTAATACAATATTGACATTTGCTATATTTGTTCTGAACTTTTAAATTACTCATCATCCTAGATTCTTTCAAATTCATCAGAGTTGCAGTCAGTTCTACTTAAGTCAAAACCCAACAAGGGAGTAGTGTTCCTAATTGGAAAAATATTGAAAAACCCAAAACAATTTATTTTACACCTACTACAATCATTCTGCTAAATGTGCAGTATCCATTTTCTTATGGTCATCCATCAATTTCGGGTTAGTTTTCCAGTTTAATAGAATCCAGCCAGCAATTTCTATTTATTGAGATCAATTTAGAAAGAAATCAGTTCATCGCATGAAAATGCTTACAAGGACATAGTTTTTTTATATATCAGATTGTGAACTGGGTGATGCTGTAAGGTGAGTATTTGCTTGAAAATAAATGGAGCCTGAGCTTCAGCCATCGAGTAGTCCTGACTTTCTCATTTGCAGGTTGACAATATGCACTGTTTTCATGGCTTTTGACAACCTCAGAAAGCATTAAGCAAATATACATTTTAAATACATATTCAAAAGCATTTGATAGAACGAAAGCAGTTACCTTTCTCTGGGAAAGAGGCAGACAGAATGCTAAAATGGATTTTTGTCTATGCTGAATATTTATTCTGCCTTGTGTTCTTGTGATGTTCAACTCAGTATGTAATTTACTATCTCAGGACTGAGCATAGACGTTCTAATTTGTCTATCAACACATAATTTTCTTCAGGTGCATTTTATAATGGCTTCAAGTGATAGTTATTTGAAATCCTAGTAAAGCTCAATGGCAAAGTATGTCTAGATTCTCTAAAACGCTGCTCTTCAGGATTTGATTTGCACAATGTGGAAGAAAAAAGCAGCCAAGAAGACCCTGCTTGTTTCCAAGTGACACATCAAAAAGTACACTCACCAAGTGATGAGGACTTTGACAGAAATTTGAGCTCTTTTTAAAAGAGGGACAAGTCTCAAATAGTTAGAGCCCTCAGTGATTGGTAATTTATTCAACAAGTTTCTTCGTCCAACTGCTTGAAGTGGCAGTTTTGGAAGAGATACAGAGTGAAAAAGTAGATTACATACTGATATGGTACAGTCAACAGATGTGAAGCTAAATGGTTTTAAAGTTCTCATTCAATTGGATAAATGGATAGGTCTGAGGTAATAGTATTGTTAGAGGATTGCATATTGAGTTGAATTGCGAGAAGAAGATGCTTGTTGTTTTCATTTATTGAGGGGCTATAGGAAAATATATATCATCACTGTATTAAATGGAACTGCTCATTCATATTTCTAATGTGTTTCACTCACCTATTGATTCAAAGTCAGCATCAGTACTCAATATGCTGTTTATTCAGCCTGATATCAGAGACAAAAGTCCTGTGTCACCATGAAATACTATGCAGTAACCAGTACTCGGGGTTAAGGTACTCTGCTACAATCACTGGAGCATGTCGTTACTTCTCCAGATATTGGGCATCAATGTGTTTAGCCCAATTACACGTTGCATGGTCTATTTGTGGGAGTGGATAGAATGCTAAGACTGTAAAAATATCTGGCTTAAAAATTCAAAATATGAGATAAAGCTTCTAATAAATTTTCCCATTGATGGAAAGCAAAAAAAAACCTTTTGGTTTTCAGGCTAAAATTCCGTGATGCAAGAAGAACAACAACTGACTTTAGTTACAAACAATATGAACAAGTGAAAACAGTAGGCCACTTAGTCCTTTTGAGCCCACTCCATCATTCAATAAGATCATGGCTGATCTGTTTTTAACCTCAACTCGACATTAATGAATATTCCCCATAATCTTTCATCCCCTTGGTAATCAAGAATCTACCTACCTCTGCCTTAAAAATATTTAAAGATTCTGCATCCACTGTCTTTTGATGAAGAGAATTCCAAAGACTCATAACTCTTAAGAGAAAGAATGTTTCCTCATCTCGGTTTGGAATGGGGTCTCCCTTATTTTTAAACTATGAGCCCTACTTTTAGATTCTCTAACAAGAGGAAACATTCTTTCAACATCCAACTAGTCGAGTTCCTTCAGGATCTTAGATGCTTTAATTAAGTCACTGCTTACTCTTCTAAACTTCGGAGGAATCAGGCCTAGCCTGTCTAGCCTTTCCGCATAAGGCAATCTGCTTAATCCAGGTATTAGTCTAGTAAATGGAACAGTTTCTAACATATTAATATTCTTCTGTTAGTACAGTGACCAGTACTCCAGATGTGGTCTCACCAATGCTTGTACAACTGAAGCATAACCTCCCTACTCTTGCATTCAATTCCTCTCGCAATTAACTCTTATCTGTCAAGATGGCTTGTTTTTTTTTCTCCCTAGTGCACCATATGCCCTTAGTCTGCGCTGTTAAAATATAAAAAAGCTCAGCAGAAACTCACACCTTTGTGTGAAAACTGATACAAACGAATGTAGATTTCTTGGGGCTGGATGGTAGTTAGTGATCTCCAAACTGAGACAGCACCCAGTTCCACTGGAATGATTGGTCATATGATTAAGTGCATAAATGTAATGCTTTGTCTTGAAATGAGCAGCTTTCAGGCAGAATAGGAGGGGTGCTTCATTACTGCTAGATTGCTGCGAGAATGAGTTTATCACAGCTCGCCACTTCACACATTAACCAGCCGCTACACGTTGCCTACAAACCTGAATCTAAGGCAGCAATCTTGACCAGTATTTGCTTATTTGATTTAAATGAACCCAGAAATCCACCAAGTTCAGCAGTGATTAAAACAAAATACTGTGGACGCTGAAAATCTGAAATAAAAGCCGGAAATATTGCAGGCAGTCAGCTGGTTGGGCAGCATCTGAGTGAAGAAAACAGAGTTAACGATAGCACAATTTGAAACAAGGTCACAGACCTGAAACTAGAGGCCAAATTTTCCCAGCCCTGAACGACGTGGACAATGGAGAGTCAGTTCAGAAAATACTAGAGATTTGAATGATATCTTAACATTGAGAGAACAAAGTTTGATTTTGCAACCAAGTTTTGAAAGATGGGATAATAATCTTGCTAGTGAGCAGAGAGAGACCTATTTACATGCACTTACATCTCATCATATCAACTTGTTTATTTGCAGCCTCCTATTCTCTCACACACCAGATAGAAACTAGATGCCGACAATTCCACACATGAAAGTCAAAGTGGGTGATATTGTCTTAATCGATCCAGTCTCTCTTCATAAGTCAGTCCTGCCATTGCATGCAAGGGTGGGAGATGATAGAGGGTGGGAGGACAAGGATTATTGTGGGAGGGGTATTATCGATGGTCATTGCCAGCCTGGATTCAATGGAGGTACACTGCATGACTATGCCTGGGGCTCAGGGAGTAAAACAGGGATATGAGTAGTTAAATACCAGAATGCAGTAGGAACAAAGGGAACAACAAACTTGCTGGTGTTGACGGAGGGGCAGTGGGGTATGAAGAAGAAAGGAACATAAAGGTTAGGTGGGGTTCACCTATACCACAAGGCTAAAGCTGCAACTCAAACTGCCAAGTGCAACCTGTATTGCCTTCCACGCTCTGCCTAATTGCACATGTGCAATGGGAATGAAAGGGCTGGGTGTAGAAAGTGTTCTCTTCTTTGAAGGATGGAGGCATTCACCCTTGTACATTGTAAAGCCCTTCAATGAGCAATAGCATTAAACAGACATCTAAACAATACAGGGGAAGGATATTTGTTGTCACAAAAATTCTGTATGCGCATGTTATTTATTGACCTTGTGTTGACCAAAAATCCTGGCCCGAAGCACTCTTGACACATCATTCCACATTACAACTCAATCATACTAATAGCCGAGAGGTACAAACAATGTCCTGCAAAGATTCACTTTGGTTGCCAAAGTTGTAATCAACTTCCAAGGTTCTATATCCTGCATAAAATGCAGGAGCTGTTCATTTAATATTTTGGACCATTACACATCCAAACCATCATCCTTTATACAACACTGTCTTTCTTGGGTGCTATGGGAGTTGGGGGTCGGGAAGAGGTCCTCATTATTGCTGCCATATGTACGTTCTCCTATTCTCTGTGAGCCAGGGCTTTGTGCAACAGACATTGGATTCAGGGCAATGATATTCAATGTCCATGTATAAGCATCCTATCCACTCCTTGTGAGGGTCCACCAGTGTTTGGATGACACTGTTCAAATGGCCCTTCTTCAAAACTGGTCAGTTAATAATACATTCTCAGTGATGTCAACGGGAGAGTGGTGCTGCTGGGAGGTCACCATGTGAGCAGTCATGGTCCACTCAAACCAGGGTAAAGATTTTCTCCCTGAGGGGGTAAGGAGATAGATATCATGCTCTGCGCCACTGGTCTTCTCTCTCTCTCTCTCTCTCTGCCCTATTATGAGATATTTTCTCTTGGGAATGAGACAAAGGGAGGGATTGAGCGAGATGAAAGTAGCTGACACAACTCTCAGTGCTGGTCCAGGAGAAAAGAGATGTCCCAAGTGAGTGAGTAGGCATCGCAGAGGGCATGCAGGATTGGTGATGTAGGGAATCGGGGAGGGTGGTAGGAATGATTTAGGGAATATGCTGCACTGTATGCAATAGTGAGAGTGATTGACTATGGGACGTGGTGGGAGATTGGTACAGCAGCAGAGATAGTGTCTGTGAGATAGCAGAAAAATGATGGTGGCACTTACCATCACAAAGGTTCATTGAGCATCTTGTGGCCTTGCTGGGTGTTCTTTTGAACACTGCAATAACTTGGGTGGCAATTTCTGACCAGGCTGGCAGAGTCTGGTGCCTCTGGAGGCCCTGAAGAATGATAAAAGCCCTCCCCTCCATCCACCCTATTTACCAGGACTTCCAGGTCCCTGTCGGTGAAGCGAGGTGTGAACTTGTTTCTATTGGCCACTTCTGG